CTTTTTTTTTTTTTCTTTTCTAATGGAAAATGTCTCCTATATTTCACAATCTCAGGTCAAACCCATTGTGACTGATGTGTTGTTACAGTAGAATTAGCTGGTGTGGGTACTTTCGAAAATAATGGGAATTCTAGGATTGGGGAGCCGGGGCTCATCCCTTCTCGGCCTCTCCTGTCTTATCTCTAGATCGAGAAGCCAGTGGTGAATAGCGATGTGGAGAAGCTGGCCCAGGAGCTGGAGGGACTGTCGCAGACCCAAGTGAGAAGGGAGCCGCGACCCTGCTGGGCCGGCTGGAGACAGAAGCCAGGGAGAGGGCTGGGCAGAGTGCCTGACCTGGGGAGGTGTGTGTGTGTGTGAAGTCGCTCAGTCGTGTCCAACTCTTGGTGACCCCATGGACTGTAGCCTGCCAGGCTCCTCCGTCTGTGGAATTTTCCAGGCAAAAGTACTGGAGTGGGTTGCCATGCCATCCTCCAGGGGATCTTCCCAACCCAGGGATTGAACCCGTGTCTCTTATGAATTGGGGATGGGATGAGGGCAAAGACAGGGGATTGAGGGCCCCACCACCAAGGGTTGAGACCCTGGGCCCCTCACTGGGACGAAGGGTCAGTTTTGTAGAGTCAGTTCTGACTCAGACTCTACCACCAATTGGCTGTGGGGCCTTGGGCAAATCTTTCTACATCTCTGGGCCTTCATCTCTAAAGTAGATTATCCCCCACCTCAGATCAGATGCTGTCCGATGTCTGACATCACACATCTGGGCAGGCATTACTAGGTGCACATGGCTTGTAGCATCCGCAGGATCAGATGCTCTGAGGACAGTGGGATCAGATGTCATTACAGTTGCCTCTAGAAGCTTAAAATCTACTGGAAAAAAGAATACTTTGTCTTTATAAATATTGAGAGTTTAAAAAATTCTCTTCGAGACATCTCACAGACAGCTCTCCCCACTCCCCCATGGTGGGCAGAGCAAGGGAGGGCCGAACTTGGAACCTGGGCTCAGGTAGGCCCCCAAACCCAGATGTGGTCCACGAGCTTCCTGCTGAGCCCAGCCTCTGATTCCAGCACTTTCCACGCCCTGCAGTGTGTCTTGCTGAGCAGTTTGGTGAAGGGTGTGTTGGCAGAGGCTGTCTTGGCCTGGGCAGAGTGCCATTCTGATCTGCCTCCCCTCAGGGCAACGCTACACTGAGGCAGATGCTGCAGGACGAGGTCCGAGGGCTCCAGCACCTCCATCAGGAGAAGGTCCTCCCGCAGCAGAACCTTGTGGTACGTCTGGATGCTCAGGTTGCTGGGGACCTGGAGAGGAGATGCAGAGAGGGGGCGTGGCAGAGGAGGCGGGATGCTGTGAACCCTCCCTCCTACCCCTCCTCCCCGTAACCAGCCCTGATCTCTCTTTCACAGGCTAAACTCAACCTCAGTGTCCAGGCACTGGCATCCTCTGCCCCACATCTCCAGGTGGCCGCCAGGGAGGGCTGGGGAGGTTGAGGAGGGGCAGGTGGGCAGTAGCGGGAGGAAGGACATGGGGGTTCAGCTGACTCAAAACCTTGCCTGCTCTGATCTATCCGAGTGGAGGTGGAGGGTGGGGTGGGAGAACACGAGGCTGGGTGGGCAGACCCCTGGGGACCACCATATATGGCCTCTGTGTCCTTGGGGCCTAACATCCCCACTCCCAAGTTGAGTGTGTTATGTGTCGTTTGTTGAGTTAATGGATGGACAAGTGAATGAGTGGCCATTCCCTGATGGATCCTCTCTCCTCTCCCACAGTCAGAGATCATAGGTGTCCTGGACAGAGTCACTTACCTGAAAGGCGAGCTGCCAACCCGGGCCACCCACATCCTGAGGAATGTGAGTGAGGGGTGTGGGGCAGGGACAGGGGGCAGCCTCAGAGTTGGAGGTGAGCTGAGTGCTTAAGGCACAGGGCCTTACACCCTAGGATTCTCCAGCCCTGCTCCCTCACCAGGGGGCTCCCAGGAAAGACAGCTCAGCCTGCCCTGATGGTGCCAGGCATGGGAGACAGGGCTGCTGGCCTTGGGACTCTTACCAGCCCGGGACTCCTCTCTTCCTTGCAGGAAAGTGAGTGTTTCCTGATGCGGGAAATGAGCTACTTCTCCCAGTACACGGCCTGGGTGAGAGAGGAGGTGAGTGGGTGTGCAGACCCTCCTGGCCTCAGGCAAGCTCCCATCTATTTCCCTTCCTCTGCCCCCTAGAGCCCCTGGGGGTGCCCTGGGCCCAAACTCCCAAACCTGGCATCTGGATGCTGAGTTCTGCCCACCCCCAACCTCTGCCACAGCCCTTCTCTGAGGCCCGAGCGTGGCCGGGCTGGGACTGGCCAGCGTCACTCTCTAGGACACGCTGTCTTCGGCCCCCTGCCCTTCCTCATGCTGGTCCCCTCGCTGGCCTGTCTGAGGCTGGCGCAGCCCTCAGGGTCCACCTCCTTCCGGGGGCCCTTGCTGAGCACAGCTTCTGCAGGCAGTCTGCCGCTCCCACTGGGCCGAGGGTCTTGCTTAGCCCTGAGTGTGTCTGTATGCGTGTGTGGGTATGAACGTGTGCAGTGCACTGTGCGTGTGGGTATGAACGTGTGCAGTGCACTGTGCGTGTGGGTATGAACGTGTGCAGTGCACTGTGCGTGTGCACATGTGTTGCCTTCCAGTGTGAGTGACTTGGAGGACATCTCTGGGCACCCAGCAGGGGCTTGACACAGGCTGGTGAATGGGGTGGGAAGTGCAGGAGGTGAGCGACAGGCCGACGTCAGCGGGTCCTCACTGCCCGTCCCGCGTCCCTGTCAGCCTCTCTCTGGACACCCGTGAGTCTGGGTGTGCCGGCATGTAGCTGCCTCATGTTGACACTGCAGGTGACTCAGCGCATTGCCACCTGCCAGCCCCTCTCTGGAGCCCTGGACAATGGCCGTGTGATCCTGTGTGACATGGTGGCTGACCCCTGGGTGAGCGCCCTGCCCCAGCTCTCAGGGCTCGTGGACTGGGAGGCCGCCGGGGGGGGCACCATGCGCCTACACCCCGGTCCTTCCCCTCGGGCCTGAGGTCGCGTCCCCGCGCCCCTCTTTGAGTCAGTGGGGTGCTGGGGGTGTCGAGCCGTGCCGGAGAGCACTGCTGCCCAGTACAGCATGCTGACCCCACATCCTCTGTCCCAGAACGCCTTCTGGTTCTGCCTGGGCTGGTGCACCTTCTTCCTGATCCCCAGCATCGTCTTTGCTGTCAAGACCTCCAAGTACTTCCATCCCATTCGGAAACGCCTCAGGTGAGGAGGCTGCCAAGACTAGGGGTGGGGCCAGGGGCTGAGGAAGGAGCCCTTCCCGGCCCCCTGCTGCCCCCACCCCCACTTCTTGAGACACACACCCCTCCAAGCCAGGGAAGCCTGTGCCTAACCCCGAAGAGTCATATGCTCTGAGGGCCTCCGGGGCCAGAAAGTTGTTCCATGTGTCTGCCCGGAAGGCTTCTTGCTGCAACACACCCACTGTTCATAGCTTTGGGGAACTCTGCTCTTCTGGGCTCTGGGCTTGGTCCTGTGTCGGGGCTGAGCGTCTGGGCCTGGGGGCTCACACACTCAGCCCTGTGACAATGCTGCAGCTCCACCAGCTCGGAGGAGACGCAGCTCTTCCACATCCCCCGGGTCACCTCCCTGAAGCTCTAGGACCCTGGTGAGTGAGTTTTCCCAAGCCTGTAATTCCTTAGTGCCTCGGGTGGGGGCAGGAAGGGAAGGGAAGGGTTGGGGTCTGGGGTCTCCAGGGCCCAGGAGGAAGGTTCTGGGATGTGGCCAGGATGGACAGGCCTGAGGTCGGCTCTTCCCCTCCCACCTCCTCGCCCTCCCCGCTTTGGTTCTTATCTATCCACAGCACAGATATGGCCGCAAGATGATGCACAGGGCTGCCTGCCTCCGCACTGACTTGGCTGAGACCAGAGGACTTCTGTCACTCTTGTTGCCAGAGCCCAGGCTGGCATCCAGGCCTGGGCTGTCCCCTGTCTCCAGTTACCAGACACCCTCTTGCTAATCCCTTTGCACCCCACTTTCTGCTCATGACCCCTTCATTCATTCACTTTCAAAAACACACTTAGCTTCTTTTGAACTTCAGAGCCAACAGAATCCCCCAGGTGTCTCCCTTCTCCTCCTCCCTACAATATATCAGCACCAGGAAGAGCCTGTTGTCCACCTAGAGGAACCCCCCCACCGCCTCAGTCCCTGGTGGGGAGACCCTGCTCAACCCCGTGCTGTCCCATGCCCCTTCCAAGCTCCTTGCTCACTTCCCTCCTCTCCTCTGGCCCCCCACTTGCCCTCTTTGCTCTGTTCCCTCCCTGGCCCTCACTTCCTTCCCTTGGGAAGCCCTTTCCTCCTGTGCCCCCTCTTTACCTTATCCCACTAACTGCTGACCCCGAGACCCCTCCTGCCCAACCACACTGATCAGGTAAAGCCACTGAGCAAGCCTGGGCCAGCTGCAGGCTCTACCTCATGGCCCCTGAGCCCTCCATTCCTAGGGCCCTGGGACCATCCCTCCACTGACCCCAGCCTGGATTTCTGGCCCCCGGGGGTGCAGGAGGCCCATGTGAAGGCTGAGCCCCAGCCTGCACCTTGGGCTGGGAATTATGCTGCTACCCCTCTGCCCTTCTCTGAGCACTGGCTTCCTAGGAAGGGACCTAGGGTGTGGGCTGCAGTGGGGGCTCACTCTTGGCACCCCAGAAAGTAGCCTCTTTGACAGCTTCCCAGCTTTTCCTGGAGAGATCTGGTGGCCACAAGAAGATTTTGCATGATGGCCCTTACTCCTTCAGTCCCATGCATGTGGCCGGGTGTCATCCCATCTCCATCTTTGTGTCAGATCCTGAGTTCTGGAAGTGGGGAAGAGGAAGAGAGAGAACAGGAAGTGGACAGGACCTAAAATCCATTAAAGTGTTTTCACTTGGCTAAGCCTTGGCCTTGGGTCTTTTAGCTCTCCCAGGCTGGGGCCCTGGATGTGGTTGGTGTTCAATGAGTGTGGAGAGGGAACTTCAAGGCCTCCTCTGACCACAGGCATCCAGGGGTCACCCCAACAATGAGCAGGTGGGGGTGGGGCCCACTCTGGGAGCAGTCAGACCTGGCTTCACTCTGGGCTCTAGTGTATGGTGACCAGGGTACCTTGAACATGATCCATGGGTCCTCCAGACCTCAGTTTTTCCACCTGTAAAATGGGAAAAGAGCCATAGCCATCTCACAGGGTTGTAAATAATGTAACAATGTGTGCGAACACCTTGGCAGGGGACTGGCACAAGACAAGTGCTCAAATGCTGCTATTTCTCTTTTTTTTTTTTTTTGCCATGACTACTCTGGGCCAGGGCAGAGCTGGGTCTGGGCAGATACAAGCGAAGAGGGAGACAGGTTCCTGCTCAGAGGAGCAAAGCCCTGTAAGATAAGAATCTACTGAGTTTCCAGGGGGTGTCTATTTTTAATTGCATCTTACAAACCAGCAACAAATTGCTACTAGAAATTGGGATGGTGTTCCCATTTTCACTACTGCCAACACACTCTCAGACCAGCATCCTTAAATGTGGCACAGTTGCCTCTTTTTGGCTTTTCCCAGAACAATTCTTGGCTTGCTTTTCATCTGTTGTCCTGCATAGGGAACTGTAGCACCTTGCATTTTAAGAACGAAATTGATGGGATAAAAATAGAAAATGATTAAAAAATAATTTCTAGTTCTCTATCAGCATTGCCTGTCTTTTATATATTTGACCAAACTAGGTATAGTTTAAGTTCAGTAACTCCCTAATAAGGAGCCTCTGTGAGCCTATTTCTATTGTCTATTGTTTCTCTTGGTTTTTGTTAGTATTGTCTCCTTTCCTACTTGGAAAAAAGTAAGTGCCACATATTTTATCTGTAAATCTACAGAACTAATTTGAGGCAGAATGAGGTTAACTTGCTCCATGAGGATTATGTGTACATTGGACAGATGGCTTGTGATCCAACAACTTGCAAACCAAGTTGTTTTAATTGGCTTTCAGGGACTGAGATGATTTGCAGTGCCTTGGAGCACTTGTCTGTTTCCAGTTCATTCATACTTTGGGGATGAAACCATCCAGGGTCTCAACCTAAAGCATGAAGGATTTTTTAGGCAACCCCTCTGCTCTTGGTGGCCCCAGTTTTGACCTCCTTAGATCCAGAGGCTGTCAACAGCTCCGCTCAGCATCTTTGCTGCATCACCAGATCCTTTAGGGAGAAAGTAGCCCCAGATGTCTCTGGGTTTCTTTCTTTTTCCAGATCTTGGTCCTATGGCTTTTTACTGCCTTGTTTGCTCCCTGGTACCCCTGAATCAAGGGCTTCCCAGGTAGTGCCAGTGATAACCCATCTGCCAATGCAGCAGACAAGAGACTTGGTTTCGATCCCTGAGTCAGGAAGATCCCCTGGAGGAGGGCATGGCAACCCACTCCAGCATTCTTGCCTGGAGACTGGCATGGACAGAGGAGCCCAGCAGGCTACAGTCCATGGGGTCACAAAGAGTTGAATATACCTGAAGCAACTGAGCACTCACCCCTGAATCAAACTTTCAAAAAATATTTTTTGAGCAGCTTTTAGTTGTCCTCAGTTGGGAATTTAGTCCAAGTTACCTAGTCCAACGTGATCAGAACTAATAGCCCTAAAAAACTAGCTGATTTTTCCCCTGTGAATTGGGAAGGGCTGCCATTCATTGAACTTAGTATCTAGAAACCTTGGCCTAGTGCACTGAACATGGACTTTCAAAGGAGCTCAGTTCAGGGAGCATCACCTGTAGGCTCTGATAAGCTGCGGGTGAGGGTGGCGCTCAGCAGGTGACAGAAATAGCCACGGGGAGAAATGAACTACATATTTTCCCAGTTTTTAAAATGCTGGGATCCTAAACTGCTCATCCTTTATATGTAAACAAAGCCCCTTCGAGGTCTGCAGTCTCATCTGTTCTCACGACATTCCCCAAAGCGGGCAGAGTATCATCCTTGTTTCACTGTTGAGCAGGTGAAGCTCTGAGAAACTCTGTGGCTGAGTCAAGGTCCCATAAGCTGAAGTCCCGCCAGGACTTGGATTCACATGCCCTGACCCTGGTGGCCCTGGAGGTTTCCTCCTGGGCACGCTGCCAGCCCACGTTCCCTGTGGGTGGATGGGAGGGAGGCCCATCTCCAAGGAGATGTGATCCACGTGTCCTTGCTATCGCTGTGGCAGAAGAGATGACAGATGGGAGGCCCTGGGAGTTCTGCCAGCCTGGCCACCCCAGAGCACAGGCCATGAGCCACAGGTGGCGGATTCTGCCAGAGAAATGCCACATGGGCCAGGCCCCAGGTGGCTGGCCAGGGTAGTTCTGCTTGGCTCCAGGTGTGCAAGAGTCAGATGGCCAGGGGCCCGCTTAGGCTACCTGAGGGGACAGTTTCACTTACTGGGTTCTGAGTATAAACGAGGAAGTGTGCTAAGCATTTCTCAGGGACGACGCAGAGATTGCTGTTGTTACGTCACTCTGTAGGGAGACAGAGTCTGTGTCTGTGTGACCCCAGGGCCCGCAGCACACCAGGCTCCTCTGTCCTCCGCTGTCCCCGGGAGGCTGCTCAAGTTCATGTCCATTGAGTCGGTGGTGCTGTCTCACCACCTCATCTCGGACACAAATGAGCTTGCTTACAGAACAGAAACACTCACAGACAGAGAACTGGGGGCGAAGAACGGGGTAAAGATAGTTTGGGATGGCCATTACACACTGCTATATTTAAAATGGATAACCAACAAGGACCTACTATGCAGCACAAGGAACTCTGCTCAACTTATGTGGCAGCCTGGATGGGAGGGGAGTTGGGGAGAGAATGGAGACTTGTGTAGGTGTGGCTGAGTCCCTTCCCTCTCCACCTGAAACTATCACAACATTGTTAATAGGCTAACGCTCTTGGGCCCATGGGATTTCTCAGGCAAGAATACTGGAGTGGGTTGCCATTTCTTTCCTCAGGGGATCTTCCTGACCCAGGGATCGAACCCAAGTCTCCTGCTTTGGCGGGCAGATTCTTTGCTGCTGAGCCACCAGGGAAGCCCTTTAAGAGCTGTAGACACTTATTATCACCTGTTCATGGCTGAGAAAACTGAGGCACAGGGCTGGATGTGGGCTGAGTAGAAAGGACACAACTTACCCCAAAGAAACAACTGACAATGGTGGCTCTTTATAACTCAGGTGACACCGTGCTGCTGGCATGAAGCCCCTTCTCTGTGGCCCCTAATCCTTCCTGCACTTCCGGGATGCACCACTCCTGGAGCAGGTAACAGTCCCCCCCCCTTACAAACACAGCACCGCAATACCCAGCGAGGGGAAGGTGCGGTGTACGCAGAGATAACCCCACCCGGCCCCAACCTTTGCCCAGCGGTGATGCAGAATTTCAATAGCCTGAACCCTCCCCACACTAGGGGTACCCAGGAGTCAGGCTTTGAGGTTGAGGGGGAGTTTTAGGGGGTGGCGAGCTGAACACAACGAGGGGAGCCCTCCCTTCACATCAAGCCAGAAGGAAGGGGCTTTAAAGGAAACCTTCAGGGCTTCCTTGGTGGCTCAGTGGATAAGAATCCTGCCAGAGCAGGAGCCTGGCTCGATCCCGGGTCTTGGAAGATTTCACAGGCGGAGGAGTAACTAAGTCTGTGCATCACGGCCACCAAGCCTTTGAGCTGCAGCTACTGAAGCCTGAATGCCTGGCGCCCACGCTCCACAACAAGAGAAGCCACTGCAGCGAGAAGCCTGTCACTGCAACCAGAGTGGCCCCTGCTCGCCACAATCAGAGAACCCTGTGCAGCAACGAAGACCCAGCACAGCCAAAGATAGTTTGTTTTTTAAAAGACCATCTTCAGGGCTTCCCAGGATGCCCTGCAGTTTGAGGAACCCAGCCAACTGATGCCCCAGCCCCACCTCAAAGTCTAGAGAGCAAGAGACAAGCTGGCCGCTCTCTCACAGAGCCAAGGAGAGGCCAGTGAGCCAGACAAGGAACCCGTGTGAGGGAGGCTCAGTGTGGAGGCTGCCTGGAGTGTGCACAGGCCCCAGCGGAGGGGAGATGGTCTGCCTGGGGGTGTGCAGTCTCCTTGGCCTCCCCCCACCGAGATCCACATGACGTATGGGGGAAGGTGTGAGGACCACGTGGCACCAGGGGGAAGGTGCGGAGGTGCCCAGTGATGGCCAGGAAGCAGGCATATAGCTTCCGACCTTCGACCTTGGGCAAACCCAGAGCACCGCCCAGGACGGATCCACCGGGAAGCCGTGCCCTGCCCCCAGAGCTGGGCAGAGACTCCAGCTGTGGGCCAGAATGGCTGGCCTTGGCCGAGGCCTGGACCAGAGCTGGGACGGTCTGGTGAGATGAAGTGAACCACTGTATCTCCCTACCAAGCATCATCTCAGGTCTGTCAGGGCTTCCATCCAGCCCCGGAAAGGCGGGCAGCAGAAGAGGTTTCCAGGCAGTGAAAGACAAATAAAGACAAGTAAGACAATGCCACAGCTATGCCGACTCATGGGACACCTGGGTGCTGTGGCCTTCAGGGAAGCACTGTTTGAGGGCAACAGACTTTTCTTGAACTCCTGTGGGGAGGGGCCTCCACCTGCCTGGGGAGACTCACCACTACCCAGAGAGGCTTTCCTCACGGTAGGGGCTCTTGGTGGAGCAAGGACCTAAACCCTGAAACTGTACTGTCTGTCTCCTGTGCCCCTCAGCCAGGGGTAAGCAGAACCAGGGATCAAAGGAGTCTGGAAAAAAGATACAGAGTGAGGACTCCATGAAACCAGGTTTGGGGTACCAAGGAGGAAGGGTTTGAAGTTGGATCTGGAAAGAAAGTATTGTCACTCGGTCATGTCCAGTTCTTTGCAGCCCCATGGACTGTAGCCCACCAGGCTCCTCTGTCCATAGAATTCTTCAGACAAGAATACTGCATTGGATTGCCATTTCCTTCTCCGGGGATCTTCTGGACCCAGGGACTGAACCGAGGTCTCCGGCATTGCAGGAAGAATCTGCCTTGGGTCTGGAAGTGAAGGGGATTGTTTGCAACAATAGAGGAAGGTCCAGAAGACTCCCATGGCTTGTGGGTAGGTCAGTGTGAGCCCTCACCAAGATGGGATTAGAGTGAGGCCCCCAGCTGGTTCAGATGGCTTGCCACTGCCTCCTCTCAAATGCAAGCTACTCAACCTTCTTCCAGGCTTGAAATGGTCCATTCCCGCTTCCAAACTCCTGGGGCTCATCACCCCCCAGCACAAGGGAAAGTACAGCTGAGACCCATGAGGCTGAGGATCGCAGCTGACAAAGTGAGGCCCTTCTGCAGTCTTTCTTAACCTTTCTTGGGTTTGATGCACTGCCAGAGAATCTCCAAAAACTCCCAGACTTTCACAAGGAGAGTTAGCCGCTGCCTACATGTCCATACCACTGCTAGGCTTGCTGAGGCCCATGTGGGGAGCTCTGCTCCAGGCTGTCCTTGACCTCCACGCTCTCCTAACCTTTCTCATTCCTGCATCTCTCACAGGCCTGGGGGGGACCAGCTCAGAGTGCTCTAGAAAAACCCCTGTGGGTGCTGGGGAAAAAAGAGATGGGGGGCACAGATCATGCAGGCGAGCATCATGTGTGTTTTATGAGGAGTACACCCTTGGTGGCAGCTACGGTTGGAGGTTCTCCAGGCCCAAGGTGGTAGAGGGCTGGTGGGGGGGGGGGGGATGTGGGCAGCTGCCCTGTTTTGTTGTAT